CCAAAATGGCAGCTTCAAGATTCATGGGAATTCTGGGAGTGGAAGTCCCTACATTTTAAAATGGCTGAGAAATACCGAGCTGTACAGGAACAAGTTTCTATCTGTAGGTTTATCATCTTGCCTTGGGATCCAATGCGGGGCCATTCCTGCCCTCAAGAGAAAACTTACCTGTCTGTCTCTCTGCTTTTCAGCCACCTCGTCTCAAAAAAAAAGATGACTTTCTTTCCACCTTCTGCAGTTCCTGTGATTTGCCTGAAGCTCAAGCTGTCATCTCTTTTGTTTCAGAACAAGTTTGTAATTAGGCTGATGAGACTAAGGTGAGCCATCCTGTGCTCTTTGGGTTTCCACCTGTTTGCTTAAGGACAGGTGCTGCCCTTTCTCTTCTCTGGAAAACTGGGAGGGAAGCAAGAAGAGGAATCAGCAAGGCAGGAGTTAGTACAGGTAGTCCTCTACTTACAACAGTTCATTTACTGACCATTCAAAGTTACAACTGAAAAAAGTGACTTATGACCCATTTTTCACCCCTATGTCCGTTGCACTATCCTCGTGGTCATGAGATTTATATTCAGACAGTTGGGAAGTGACTCATAGTTATGACGTTTGCAGTGTCCTGGGGTCACGGGATCCCCTTTTGCAACCTTCTGACAAGCGAAGTCAACGGGGAAGCCACATTCACTTAATAACTGGGTTACTAATTTAACAACTGCAGTGATTCAGTTAACAAAGTGACAAGTTGTAAAATGGGGCAAAACGCATTTAATGAATTGGACTCACTTAGCAACCTAAATTTTAGACTCAATTGTGGTTGTAAGTCAAGTAAACCTGTAAAAGAAAATCCCAGGTTGAATTTGAAGCTGTTGACAAGCTCCGCCTTCCCCAATGCTGTTTGTTAGGGATAACATTGTTTACCCTAACTGGTTTGGGTAAAAATAATAAATAAGTTATCATGGTTTGTTGGTTAAAGTGTGTGTAACTTTAACTACAAGAATGTAATTAAGGGTGTGGTTGTAAAAGCACCATAAAAGAAGCAAGTCAATTGAAGCTCTCTCTCTCTGGCTTAATGATCCCTAATTACTGGATGGATTGATGACTGCGTTTTTCCTTACTGGAACGGAGGAGAAAAAGGAGTGTTGATTTCTCAACGGAGAGAAGAGATAATACGGACTGATTTATTGTAAGTGAACTGACATTGGCTATTCAACACGGACTTTGCAAATTGAGTATCCTCGACTGGACTGACTGAAATGATACATGACTAATGGACCGTTTATTTTGACTATGCTATAATTCCTAATGGAATAAACTATATTTTTGATAGCACAAGCGTATCTGTTTTTTACTGCGTGTTAACTAAAATACAAACCTATCTCACAGATTTACCTGTCTGCCTATCTGACTACGCTACACATTCTGTTTAGTTTGTTTTCCTTAACACTCGTTGGGGAACTCAGGCTTAACACTGTTTGCATGTCAGGCTACAGAACTTTTCCCATTCACTCAACTAGAATGAACTTCTCAAAACGTATCAAAAATGAATCCTTTATTGAGATGGGACAATTCCTGTAGGGGTTCAAAGCAGCGTCTGAGGGATACATAAGGGAGTTTAGAACCCCTCCCCTTATCTCGATGTGTATTTAGTGAAACAAAAGCCAGTATGTTAATTCCTCCCCACCCCTCTTGTAAGGAACGATCTTTCTCACAATTTCCTAGGGCATACCTAATTTCTCCCCCCACCCCCTTTCTAGAACGAACTTTTCCAAAGATTCCCAGGACACATCTCACTGTGGAATTTTTATGATCTTCTCATCTCCTGGCTGTGCCTCTCGGAAGTGATAGGTTCTGGCCATCTGGCTTTTCTCCCTCCATTGTATCATGTGTGGGTTATACACATTCGATATAAGATTAAATATATTCAGGTTACATCAAGAAAGGATTTCTTTATCAGCCTCACCCTCCCCTTTTCTTCTTCCATTGAAGAAATGAGATACACGGATCTGACATCGCATCAGGAAGGCCCGGACCACAGCTCCCATCATCCCCAATCAAGACCCAATGATTTCCAGATCCACCGTCACGCAATTGTCAGACAATTGTCAGATGTTATCCTATGGTTCAGAAGTGTCCAACCCTGGTGACTTTGAAGACCTGTGGACTTCAACTCCCAGAATTCCCCAGCCAGCATTCTGACAACTGCACTTCCAAGCCCATGGCAACCAGTTCTCCTTTACCACCATTTGCAGCATCCGATAGTCTTTAAGGATTGCAATTGGTGGCCCTTTTTTTTTGCCAGCTCTCATCCTACAAAGCCTGCTGGGGAATTTGCTTAACCATCATTTGATTTGCTTAAAGACCACAGCAGAAATGGTCAGAAACTCAGGTCCAGTCATGCCAGAAACTCATTTTGTAACTGTCCAAATTTATGATGGAAATTTCTGTCCAGATAGGAGTCAATTATTCTCCAAAGCACCTGAAGGCAGGACAATGGATGGAAAGTAATCAAGGAGAGAAGCAACCTCGAATTAAGGGGAAATTTCCTGACAGAACAATTAACCAGTAGAACAATTAACCAGTTTGCCTTCAGAGGTTGGGGGGGAGGTTTTTAAGAGATTGTACATACATTTTGTCTGGAATAGTATAGGGTTTCCTACTTGAGCAGGGGCTGGACTAGAAGACCTCCAAGGTCCCTTCCAACTGTTATTCTGTTAATTGTAGTTGTAAAGTTGAGGACTATGTGTGGTCCTATCTATCAATCCCCACTCTATGGATCCAAAAGCAAACAAACTGCATTGCAAATGGATTTAGATCCCAAGATTTAAGGAAACCAAGATACATTCAGAAAACTCTCCCAGAGTTCCACTGTAGCTGTCAACTTTTAAAAGCAGGTTGATAACTTTGAAGAACACCCCACCCCTCCCAGAAACAGAAATCAAAACAGCCCCGTGGTTTGTCTGAAGTCAGCTTTATTTTCATGCTTTCAGGCATATAAAAACAATGGCAACACATATTGTGGTAGCCTGAACAAATCATTTTACTGTGCAACAGATTTTTAACCTAGTTACAAAAAGAAGTGGAGTGGGTTTGGGTTCAGGGGCAGCAGCTGCATTTGTTCAAAGAAGGGTCTTTGCAGACACAGCCTTTTGCACAGTTGTCACAGCTGGGTGGGCAGCAGGAACAGCAACCTGGAAAGAGTCAAGAAAAACAGGGAGATTAAATAACTTGAGAAACTGAACACAGTAATCAATACCTCAATTTGGGATACTTGAAGGCATAGAATTGGTTTTCTAGATCAGACTGAATGTCTGCCTACACCAAGGGTCTTCAAACTTGGCCACTTTAAATTAAGACTTGTGGATTTCAACAATTCTGGGAGTTGAAGTCCACAAGTCTTAAAGTGGCCAAGTTTGGGGACCTCTGGCCTACACCAGAGTTTAAGACTTGTGGATTTCAACTCCCAGAATTCCTGAGCTAACATGACTGGAGGAGGAATTCTGGGAGTTGAAGTCCACAAGTCTTAAAGCTGTCAAGTTTGAAGACCCCATGTCTACACTACACTGGTTCAATTCCCACATTCAATCTCAACGTGACTCAGTTTCCAAAGGGACCACTGTATTTTGCCCAATTTATCGTAGTTTCCCTCTCCATCAAGCCAAAGTTTGGTTCATCCAAGGCAAGAACATGATCCTTGCTCAGAATAAAATTCTCTAGAATGCATAGAATTAAACCTCAAGTACATTGTAACTGCATATACCTTAGGGACCTTGGAAGTCATCTACTCCACCCCTTGCTCAAGGAGGAGACCCTATACCATTTCTGACAAGCAGCTGTCCAGTCTCTTCTTGTAAACCTCCAGTGACCCACAACTTCTGAAGGCAAGCCATTCTACTGGTTGTATGTTCTCACTTTTAGGGAAATTCTTAGTTCTCAATTGCTTCTCTCCTGGATTAGTTTCCATCTATTGTTTCTTGTTTCCTCTGGTGCTTTGGAAAATATCTTGACCCCCTCTTCTTTGTGGCAACCCTTCAAATATTATTCCTATTTGCTACGTCACCCCTAATCCTTTTCTGTAGACTAGCCATACCTAAATCCTGCAACTATTCTCATATTTTAGTCTCCTTTCTAATGGCTAGAACAATTACTTGAGCTGAAACTTTAATATCTTTCAAGAGCATTCACTCCATCTATCCAAACCCATAGACACTTACTCATGATAGCTCCAATGATTCCATGGGACTATACTTAGGCTTCTATCGCAAGTCTTTTGTCAAATCAGATGACACACAACTTCTCAGGAACTTGACATCTGGATTTTAACCCAATTGATTTTCTAGAAAATTAAGACTTACTTTTTTTGCATGAAGTACATTTGCAGTTTTTGCATTTGCAGGATCCATTGCAGGAGCAGGAACTGCCTGAAATGTTAAAACAGGGAAGGAAAAGAACAAATGTCATTAGCTGAAAGGGAATATAGCAAACTACAACCATTATTTTAACCCCTTTCACTACTAACAAGGCATCTCCTGATGCAGGAACAGTTCACAAATTTCTTTTACCAGATGATACTTTTTTTTGCCCGCTTTCCAGGACAATTAAAGTTTGTGCAGGGCCTTCAGCACTTAAGACTTGCCCAAGTTTGACATCAAGAGGTAGCATTTAACAACCTGAACTGCTCTCCAGTTGCTAGTTTCATGCCAAGGATCCACGCCAGGTTTCTATGTGATTTCTCCCAGTCTTCAGGAGACTGTTAAAATGGCTAAATAAATGTGTAGACTTGTAGAAAATCAAGTTATTTCTCGAAGGAACTACTGACAAGGAGAATAGGCAAATTTATGGCAATTCTCTTCATTTCCCAGCTAGTTTTAATTTTATATTTGAAAAAAAAAAAAGCAAATTGGGAATAAATTAGCAGTAGGAAAACCAATTTTCCTTTCTGAACAGCTGCTAGGAGACTAGGAAAATGTCCCTAAGTTTTATCCTGTCTGGAAGCATCAGGTGTTTTTTTCTTTTGAAAACTTGAACATTTGAGCAAAGTATCCCTAAGGAGATGGAGTTTGCCAAACCTCTTAAAGAAAAAAAAAAGGCTGTAAACAGGTTTAGAAACAAATCTTTCTGCAAAAACTAGATAACGTTTCCGCTTAATGAAGTAGCCGTTTAATAAACACAGTGACGTAGTGCAGAGAAAAGGAAATTTATGGGCACAGTAGGATTTTAAACCAGGATTTGGGGCATTTTTTTCTCTCTGGAGTTTCTCTAGTGCAGGGGTCTCCAACCTTGGCAAGTTTAAGCCTGGAGGACTTCAACTCTGGCTGGGGAATTCTGGGAGTTGAAGTCCTCCAGGCTTAAACTTGCCAAGGTTGGAGACCCCTGCTCTAGTGCACCCAAAAGGCTTTTCAAAATTAAATTTGTGTGCCCACCCAGAAAAACAGAGGAAAGAGACCTCAGGATCCGTCACACTTTAACCTTGGTTTAACAGACCTGTTTAATAATTCACATTAAACCACAATTTAACCATGGTTTTATGGCTTCCAAAGGCTGGGTTGGTACATGCTAAAACCAGAACTAAAATTATAGTTTACAGTGTGTATTACCCGCTTAGTGTCCAGCAGCTGCACAGAATAGGAACTTCTGCCGAGTGTGGGGTGGGGGCTTAAACCCCAGTTAGAGACCCAACACCCAGGAAGAGTTCACAGGGTTTGGGGAGCAGAAACGGGTCTCTCTCTTGGAGCACAACTCTTCGGAAGTTGTGGGACCTTCATCCCTGGGGGCTTTCAAGAAGAGACTGGACTGCCATCTGTCAGAAATGGTGTAGGGTCTCCATGCTAGGGGGGGTTGGACTAGATGACCCACAAGGTCCCTCCCAACTCTGATAATCTGTAATCAGCACGAAGGAGACGGACAAACCCCACTTGCTTTCCCAACTCATTGGGTCCGGCAAGAAGACTCAACCCTCAACGAAAGCAACGAAGCCGCGGAGAAAAAAAAGGTTCTCTCCGCAACATTTCCGCGCATCTCCTCCGCTAAACATCTTCCTGGCTTGCTGGTTTCGGGGCAGCCGGTTCGGCAGCCAAACCGGGTTTTCTAAAGGGAGGAGGAGGAGTAGGCAACGCAACCCCCGCAGGCAAACCCTGGTGAGAAAGCTGAAGCTGAGACTTACCGGTGGCGCAGCCGCAATTCTGGGGATCCATCGCAACGAGAAAGAAAACAAGCGCAAACAGCCCAAAGCGAACGAAAGAGACGAGGATGCTGGTGGGTTGCCCGCCGCCGGCTTTTTTATAGCGGCCGCGAGGTCAGCGAGGCGTGTGCAAAGCGCCCAGCCCTCCCTCCTTCCTTCCCTTGTGCTGCGCACGGGCCGAAGGGGGAGGCGGTGAGGATGGGCGCAAAGGAGCCGCTGCTGCGCCACGCGCAAAGCCCCGAGCTCGGCCCCCCCTCTCCGCCTTTGCAAGCGGGCGCCCGCGGGCATCCGCCGCCCCTGGGCTCCGTTAGCCGAAGGGGGGGTGCAGCACGGGAAGGTACCCCGAAATTCACCTTCGTTTATCCCCCTGGAGCGAATGTAGGCGCCGGGAGGAGGGAGTCATTGATTAGAAACGGGGTCTGGGGGACCCCGACTCGGTTGGTGTCCAGGCTGCTGTTGAGGGGGTCGCCTCACACACACACACCCACACACGCACGACTGTCCTCCTGGGACCTCATCCTCTGCAGCTGGAAGCAACAGGTGGGGGGGCCAGGTTGGATCTGTGTGGCGTTGATTGGGGGAGATCCCTCGGATTTGCAAACGCCCCAGATGGGGATTCCCTTCGATGTGATGGTACAGAGTTGGAAGGGGTCTTGCAGGTCATCTAGTCCAACCCCCTGCCCAAGCAGGAGACCCGCCATCCTGTTGAATGGGGCGTGCTGCTCTCCCCTTTCTAACCATAACTGGGAATGTCCATTTGGTCTGGAACTTTATGGCAGGATCCAGGCAATGGGGCGTCTTTCTTTAGATTAAGATAATATTTTATTTTATTATATTTGTGGATCAGGATGATCAATGGCTTTGCGTTAAGGTCTCTTGGTTTTTTTCTTGATCACAACAACCCTACGTAGTATATTGGAGGAAATTTTTCAGGGAGCTTGGATGAACTTCACAGTCCTACAGCATCACTCTGCTGGATCCCAATTAAGATTAAATCAAACAAGGTTTCTCGTAGATTCAATAATTTCCTCCCAGTGCTGCACCTTAGCTAGCCAGCCCTCGAGCTCAACAAGTTTTGGATTTAATGAGGGCTAAATATGAAAGCATCAGATTTTAAAAACATTTTAAATTTGTAATAATTTTTAAAAAATCACAGAAGAAAACAGGGCCTAACCATGCCTGTATTGTTTCCATTTTACAATGGTTTTTTTAAAGACATACACAAAATGGAAAAGAAAACAAAAGCCTTAAACCACCAAGATGAAGCAATCAATCATCAAACTAAATGAAAAGGGGAAAACATGACAACCATATCGATCCATACCTTTCATCTCTCCAACATTAATCGTTAAACTTTCTAAATTAAAGAACATAGATATTACTCTCTTGTACAACATCAAGACGTTGGTGCCAAGCATGACATTATACCAGCTATTGGCAGTGGGTAAAACTGCTTTTTAAAAAAAAAAGATAAATTCCATGTTTTTCAAATCCAATCACTAATGAGAAATGGTAGTTTGAGAAACTAAAGTACAGTATTTCTCTTAGCCCGTATCCCAAGGTACCTTATATCCCGAAAAGTTGGAATTTAATTAATTTTGTGGAATTGGGCCTGGGAGAAAAGGAAAGAGAATTAACATTGTGGGAAGGGACAATTTACATTAATTTAGTGTGATGAATTAAGAGTGTTGTGATAATTGATTTGGTTTGGTGGCAGGCATCTCACTCACACACACACACACACACACACACACACACACACACACACACACGTCTTCCTGTCCCAAAACAGTGAAGCCATCTTCCCTGGTCAAACTACGAGATGTGTGCAAACAGTGTGCAAACTTCCCTCTTTTCATTCAGGCTGGTGGCTGCAAACACTAGAGTGGTGTGCAGCTGTTAAGCCCGCCTCCTTTTTCACATGACAATACAAACAACTCCCCCGCCTTCCTTCCAAAAACAGTGTGCAGAGTGCAGTGCGCAAAAGAGCCACGTGGGTTGGTGCTGAGTCAAGAGTGAGTCAGCAGATAATGCTCTAGTTAGTAGAAGCTTAAGCAAACAATGATGCCCCCCCCCCCCAGCACGCTTATGGCCTTCCTGAACTTCAGGTGGAATATTTTTATTTATTTATTTATTTGATTTGTCAATTGCTTACAAGATAATAGGTATAAGTATAAACATAGTTATGAATACATGAAATGGATACATATAAGAAAAATAAAAATAGGACAGGGACGGTAGGCACGTTGGTGCACTTACGCACGCCCCCTAATATATATTGCTTTAATTTCCAGATTGGATACTCTTGGTTTTTAATGATTTTATTTAAGAATCCTTCTTCCCTGGAAAGTCCCTGAGCTGTTTGTGTAGAAGAAATCACACCATTTCATAGGGCACTCAAAAGTTACACCACCACCAGTTAAAACACTACTCAAACCTTTGTACTTGGGCTGTGTTTACACAGCTTAATTAACTTGGTTACTGAGTTACCCCCTTTCTGGGTTTGGATAATAATTACAGAAAGCAGGCTGGGTTTTCACAACCTGCTAAGCCACCAAAATACAGTATTAACTAATGTTACAACTAACCAATCATGAACACAATTGTTGGTCATTCATCGGTTTAAAAGTGTGTTGTGTAAGTGTTCTTGGCTTACAACCATTTGTTTAATGAGTGATGATATAACAGTACTGAAAAGTGTGTCCTAATGATTGGTCCTTGGACTTATGACCTCCAGGGGGGGCAGCATCTCCAGGGTTATATGAACAAAATTTGGGGCTTGGCAACGGATGTGTATTTACTACGGTTGCAAAATCCTGAGTCACAGCTGCACTATTCATGAATTTCCCAGCCAGCTTCCAATCAGCAAAGTCAATAGGGGAAGTTGGGTTTGCTTAATGACCCTGTGATTCACTTAGAAAAAGTTTGGCTTTCGCTTTTGGTACAGTTGTGCCACAGTTTGCAGAGGAAAGAGGTTGGCTGTTAACTGTGGACATTTTGTCCTGAAATCAAGGCTGACCCTGTTTAGCGAAACTTTTGCTGCATTGGGAATGAGCATGAAGATCTTTGGCAGCATCAAACAACACACAACATAAATAAACCTGTGGCTTGGGGGGACTATTTGGAGGTTAACTACTAGGAATTTGATTGGATAATTATGGTTAGCTAGCATTTGTGGCATGCACTTCTCCAGAAGGTTCAAAAAAATCTTGCCACCCGTTCAAAATTTGCTCAAGGAGAAAGTGAGAACAAGGAGGAGGAAAGGAATGCTTTTCTTGTCAGGAGAGCATTACCAGTCACCTTACAGAAAACTCTGGTTTATCTGCTCCACAAAGAGAATATTCTGACTTAAAAGTTCACTCTTCTTGGCAAACAAGAAAGGGAGGGAAGAAAAGATAGCGATGGAATGAATGAAAATCCAAACAAATCATCTAAGACAGCACTGTCTTAGGCCTAAAGATGCAGTACTCATGTAGTAGGCTATATTGCTATTATCCTTCTCATCTTTCTCATCTTCTCATTCTTTCTCGTCTTTCCTACTATCTTCTCCTATTGGTATCTTATGATTTATCACTTGGATCTTAGGACTGATTGTAACTATGATTTATGATCTATGACTTATCACTTGTTGTTTGTATGTACACTGAGAGTTTATGCACCAGAGACAAATTTCTTGTGTGTTCAATTACACTTGGCCAACAAAGAATTCTACTCTACTCTACTCTACTTTACTCTACTCTACTCTACTCCTTCTCTTCTCTCTCTATTCTTCCTCTACTCTCTCTATTCTTTACTTTCTCTACTCTTTCTCTGCTCTCTCTTTTCTTTCTCTACTCCTACTCCATTCCTATTCTACTCTATTCTGTTCATTCCTACATACAGAACTTACACTGATTCCAAAGGTAAACTCATTCGGTCTTTTTCTCCTGCGGATCAAATTCCTCAAACTTCCAAGATAACTTTAGGTCCCCTGATCCCCATGTGCAAAATTAGAAAGGGGAGGGCTGATTTAAAAAAGAAAAGAAAAGAAAACCCACCTTGAAGTACAGGAACTGCTTACATGACTCAGGTATAAGAAAGACGAAAGACGTTTAGAGAGAGAAAAAACCATCCTTTGTGGGTGGTTCCAACAGTTCGTGCTGACAAAAACGTACAGCTGAGTTGAAAAGGCACCTACAGGTAGTCCTGGACTTATGACCTTAATTGAGCCCCAAATTTCTGTTGCTAAGCAAGACAGTTGTTAAGTGAGTTTTGCACCATTTTACGACCTTTCTGGCTCCAGTTGTTAAGTGAATCACTGCAGTTATTAAATTAGTAACACGGTTGTTAAGTGAATTTGGCTTCGCCATTGACTTTGCTTGTCAGAAGGTCGCCAAAGGGGATCATGGGACACTGCAACCGTCATAACTATGAGCCACTTGCCAAGCATTCAAATTTTGATCATGTGACCAGGGGGAGGCTACAATGGTGATAAGTGTGAAAAACGATCATATGGCACTTTTTTAGTACTGTTACATCTTCAAACTGTCCCTAAATAAAAGATTATAAGTTGAGGACTATTTTGTGATAGCATTCAGCTCAGCTGGTTTTGCTCTGAAAAGGTGTAGATTTATGATTCTCCTGATGTCTCAACCTTTATGTGCATGACTGCATTCCCACTCACACTTGTAATACTATTACTAAATTTGCAGATGATACAACAGTGGTGGGACTCATCTCTGGGGCCGATGAGTCTGCCTACTGAGATGAAGTGGACCGGTTGCTTTTGTGGTGTGGAGACAATAACTTGGTCCTCAACACCAATAAGACCAAGGAGCTTATAGTGGACTAGAGAAGGAACAGATCAGACATCCAGCCTTTGCTTATCAAGGGAGACTGAGTGGAGCAAGTGGCCAGTTTTAAGTTTCTGGGTGTTACCATAAAAGAGGACCTGACCTGGGGTGCCCACATTGCAGCCCTGGTCAAAAGGGCCCAGT